CTGGGGCCCTCCTCCTCCTCCTCCTCCTCCTCGTCCTCCTCCTCCTCCTCCTCCTCCTCCTCCTCCTCCTCCTCCTCCTCCTCCTCCGCCTCCCTCCCCCTCCTCCGAGGAGGGACGGGGGGGAAGGGGGAGGGGAGGAGAGAGAGGGACGCACGGGGAGGGGAAGGGGAAAGGGGGGGGAGGAGGGAGGCAGAGAGGGGAGGCAGGGAGAGAAGGGAGGGAGGGGAGGAGGGGTCACTGACCAGGCTGCCAGGTCTGCGAGCCGACGGGCCGCCAGCAGACGGCCCTTCGAGGAGGATCTGGCCACGGAGAGGGTGGGAGTCGCTGTGGAGACGAGGGTTGTGCGCTCCTCCCGTGGCCTAAGCGACGTCCCCAGGAGCCGACGCGAGTGACCGCATTTGCCGCTCTCCTGTTCGCTCGCTTTGTCGCTTTCTCTTTTTATCTCCGCTGGGGGGGGGGGGGCCCTGCGCAGATCCAGAAAATCCGCGCGGAGCACCAGAAGTTCATGCTCATGGTGTTTCCACTTGTTATGTTTAGAATTATGATTATGATTACTACTATGAACCAGATTATTACTAGCATCAGTATTATTATAAGTAGTATCAGTCGCATTTGTAGTAGTAGTAGTAGTAGTAGTAGTAGCAGTAGCAGTAGCAGTAGTAGTAGTAGTAGTAGTAGTAGTAGTAGTAGTAGTAGTAGTAGTAGTAGTAGTAGTACTACTAGTAGTACTAGTAGTAGTAGTAGTAGTAGTAGTAGTAGTAGTATAGTAGTAGTAGTAGTAGTAACAGTAGTAGTAGTAGTAGTAGTAGTAGTAGTAGTAGTAGTAGTAATAGGAGTAGTAAGTAGTATAGTAGTAGTGATAGCAATAGTAATAAGTAGTAGTAGTAGTAGTAATAGTAGTAGTAGTAGTAGTAGTAGTAGGTAGTAGTAGTCGTAGTAGTCGTAGTAGAGTAGTAGTAGTAGTTTAGTAGTAGTAGTAAGTAGTAGTAGTAGTAGTAGTAGTAGGAGTAGGGTAGGAGTAGTAGAGTAGTACTAGAGTAGTAGTAGTAGTAGTAGTTAGTAGTAGTAGTTAGTAGTAGTAGTAGTAGTAATAGTAGTGGTAGTCGTAGTCGTAGTCGTATCGTAGCCGTAGTCGTAGTCGTACTTCGTATGGTAGTAGTAGTAGTAGTAGTAGTATAGTAGTAGTAAGTAGTAGTAGTAGTAGTAGTAGTAGTAGTAGTAGTAGTTAGTAGTAGTAGTAGTTAGTAGTAAAGTAGTATTAGTGGTAGTGTAGTAGTAGTAGTAGTAGTAGTAGTAGTAGTAGTAGTAGTTAGTAGTAGTAGTAGTAGTAGTAGTAGTAGTAGTAGTAGTAGTTAGTAGTAGTCGTAGTCGTAGTCGTAGTAGTAGTAGTAGTAGTAGTAGTTGTAGTAGTAGTAGTAGTAGTAGTAGTAGTACCAGTAGTAGTAGTAGTAGTAGTAGTAGTAGTAGTAGTAGTAGTAGTAGTAGTAGTAGTAGTGGTGGTAGTAGTAGTAGTAGTAGTGATCAAAATGATATTAGTAATCATATTATTATTGTTAGTATTATCAGCATTGATATCACTAGTAATACCATTATCATTATTAGAGTCGTGAACAAAAACTACTCCGACGGTCGGACCCCGCCTGGGAATCTGTTTAGCTTCCCCTTAGTCCTTTCCTCCTCTCCCTTGCGGACACTCTCCTCTCGCCCTCTGCTCTGCCCTCTCCCCCTCCCTGAATTTATCCTCCGCCGATTCCTCCTCCTCCTCCTCCACCTCCTCATCTCCTCGTCATCGCACCCCCCATGCTCCTTCCCTCCTCCTCATCCCCCGCCTGCATATTCTCCGCGCGCGCCCCCCCGCCCCCCTGGTCGGCGCAAGCAAATCGACGTACCTCGGCGCCCTCGCCGCCCGGGCAATCGCGCGCGCGTTTGCCGACGGCTAGATCGCGAAGCCGTCGGGGCAACCCTTCGGGCCAGGCCGTCCGTGCAACCCCGCGAGCCGCCGGGGCGCGAGGGCGAGCCGTCGGGGCAACCCCGCCGGCACCGAGCTAGTCGCGGCCGCGCTCAGGCGGGCGGCAGCGCGAAGCCCAGCTCTGCCGCGAGCTGCTCCGCCTCAGCCCTGGAGCCCACTGCACTCTTGTCGAAATCCTCGAGCGCCTTCCGCGGAGGCGCCGGCGGCCCGCGCACCAGGAAGTCTCGCGCGGGCGGCCGCAGGATCAACGTGTTCCGCACGCACGTGGCGCGGGAGAACATGACGTAGAGGTGCAGCCCCCACTGCTCGTCCGACATGCCCGCGCGACCAGCGCCCCCATCCCCTGGCGCAGTCGATGGCGACGCCCTTGCGCAGCGTCTGACCCTGCGACGGCGCGGAGGTCAGGTAGGACGCGCGCGCCAGGGTGAACCCCGAGCGGCGCACATCGCGCGGCCCCGAGCTCTGCCGCGCGAACTCCTGCCCGCTGGGCCTGAACGCGAGCAAGCTCCTCGCCAGCGCCTCGGCCGCGCCGTCGTCGTCAGCGCCCTCGGCGCTCTGCAGCAGCACCTCGGGAACTCCTTGAAGCCGTGGACCTGCATCCAGATCCCCTGCGGTAGGTAGCGGGGGCGTAAGAGCTGGCCCGGCGCGCACTCCTCGTAGTCTCGCTCGTCGTCTGCGCGAAACTCGAAGGACGCGACGGTGGCCCGCTGCTCCTGCACGAGCCCCAACTTCTTCTTCAGCTCCTCCTGCACGGCCGCGAACTGAACCTCCATGCCGACGTGTGCCGGTCAGACGCCGTGGATGTCCCCCGTCTTGCGCATGTTCGGGACGTTCAGGAGGCGGCGGCCTGCGTTTGGGTCGCCTTGAATCATGCCGCATTCGTCTACGGCCTGCAGGAAAACGAGGGGCACGCCCAGACGCCGCGCGTCACGACGAGCACTCGCGTGGATCCACCTCGCGAGCGTCTCCCAATAGATGCCCATACCGAAGCCGAGCCGAAAGCTTTCGTGCTGGTGTCAAGGGTCCAGGACGCCGTGGCTGTCCGAGGCCAACGTCTTCTCCCAAGCAGACAAGACCCCTGGCGGGAAGCGCTTGCACTCGCGCGTGCAGCCCAAGAACGCAATCAGAGGGTCCGTTCCTTCTTGTTGGTCTGCTGCGACATGGCAACGACCCCGGAAACCCGAACTCAGATACCAGGTGGAGCCAAGCTTGAGCCTGCAGCCGCAGTGAAGCCTCCACGGAGGCCCCCGGATACACGAAGACAATGTCCTCCTCCTCCTCCTCCTCCTCCTCCTCCTCCTCCTCCTCCTCCTCCTGCCTCCTCCTCGATTGTCCTGCATCGTCTTCCGTCGTTCCTCCATCGTCCTCCCTCTTCCTTTTCCCTCCTCCTCCTCGTCCGTCCTCCGTCCATCGACCTGCGGCCTCAGACCTCCGCCCTCCGTCCTTATCTCCCTCCTCCTCCTCGTCTTCGCCCTCGTCCTCCTCTTCCTCCTCCCCCTCCTCCTCCTCATCCTGCTCCTCCCCCTTGTCATTCGACACCTCGCCTTCGCCGTCCTCGCTGTTCTACTCCTCCTCATCGTATGTATACTCCTCCTCCTCCTCCTCCTCCTCCTCCTCCTCCTCCTCCTCCTCCTCCTCCTCCTCCTCCTCCTCCTCGTTCTCCTCCTCGTTCTCCTCCTCCTCCTCCTCCTCGTCCTCCTCCCCCCTCCCCCTACTCCTCCTCCCCCTTCTCCTCCTCCTCCTCCTCCTCCTCCTCCTCCTTCTCCTCCTCCTCCTCCTCTTCCCCCTCCTCAAAAAATTGCGTTAATGGCCCCTTACCCACGAACACGCAGGGCGTTTTTTGGTGAGGGGCCGCCGATCGGTTACAACCGGCGACCCGGACGCAAGGGTTCCCCCCTGCGCCCGATTTGACTGACGATGGGTTACCACGGCCAGCCCAGGGACAAGGGGTTACCCCCCCCGATTCGGCCGAGGATGGGTTACCACCCCCAGCCCGGACGCAAGGGGCTACCCCTGCGCCCGATTCGGCCGCCGATGGGTTACCATCGGCGGCCCAGAGACAAGGCGTTACCCCTGCCCCCGATTCGGCCGAGAATGGGTTACCACCCCCGGCCTGGACACAAGGGGCTACCCCTGCGCCACGCCGCTGCCTCGTCGTCGTCGTCGTCGTCGTCGTCGTCGTCGTCGTCGTCGTCGTCGTCGTCGTCAGCTCCTCAATCACCCTTTCGGGCACGCAAGCCCATGACAACAGCAAATTTGCCGACGACCAGCTCAGACGAGGCTGCCCGCAATTCGCTCACAAACAACGCCCCCGCCAATACTTCCCCCGTATTCAAGCCGCAGGAACTGAGGAGCCCAAAGAGCTCGCTCGGATGACCCGCCTCGGACTCGGACATGAAGTGCGGGTCCCATAGGGAGGGGGCTCCCGCCTGAGACTTCCTCGCAATTCACTCACAGACGATGCTCCCGACTCAGACTTCCTCCGAATTCAAGCCAGAGGAGCCCCAAAGAGACGATACTTACAGGGTGCCGATGACCCGCCTCGGATTCGAACATGAGGTGCGGGACCCATAGGGAAAAGCTCCCGTCTGAGACTTCCTCGCCAGTCACTCACAGACGAGGCTCCCGCTGAATAATTCCTCCAAATTCAAACATGAAGACCTCCAAAAGTGACGACGGTTACAATTTTCCGATGACCCGCTCGGATTGCCAACGTGAAGTGCGGGACCCATAGGGAGGAGGTCCCGCCTGAGACTTCTTCGCAATTCACTCACAGACGAGGCTCCCGCCTGAGACTTCCTCTATACTCAAGCCTGAGGAACCCAAAAGTGACGGCAGTTACAAGTTGCCGATGAAACGCTCGGATTACCAACATGAAATGCGGACCCCATAGGGATGGGGGCTCCCGCCTGAGACCTCCTCGCAATTCACTCACAGACGGGGCTCCCGCCTGAGACTTCCTCCATACTCAAGCCTGAGGAGCCCAAACGAGACGACAATTACAAGTTGCCGCTGACCCGCTCGGATTGCA